CTCCTCGTCTCTCGTCTCCTCGTCTCTCGTCTCTCGTCTGTCTGCCGCTCTCTGCAGGCCTGGCCGGGCTCCGGGTCTGGGTCTCCATCTCTGTCATCACAGCCCCCATAGCAGGTCTGGATGGGGAGTCCCGCTGCATCCCCATCAGCTGGCAGCCCAGGGCGGCCCCTCTGTAAACAGGCTCGCAGCCCCTGTGATGGGAAGTGGGGGCAGGGACCCACTCCCCCGCCTCCCCTGCACGCCCCTCCTCTGCACCCCTCCTCACAGGGACCACAGCGCCACGCCCCGTCCAGGCTGCAGGACATCCCTACTCCGGCCAGCCGGCGCCTACGGTTGCTATGAAGCAGAGACACCCCCCCTGACTCCCCCAGCCCCTGACGCCACCCTGGGGGGACCAGGGAGAGAGGTGGGGACGGGTCAGTGGCCAAGCCCGGCGCTGCACAGACCAGCGCCCGCCCGGCACCAGGGCTCTACTGCCTCATTACCCAGCCAGGCCAGCAGGGGCTGGGGGAGGGGCTGGGTAATGGCCGTCCGGCTCCAGCCTCCGAGCCTCCGCCTGCCCCCTCCCACACCTGCCCCCTGAGCTGCAGACGGACAGAACCCCAGCCCAGGCCCTCCCCCCGCCCTGCCCCCATCTGCAGGACCAGGATGCCTTCTCTGTCTGCTCTGCCCTGGAACCAGGGTCTCCAAGCCTTGCTGCTGTGGAGCTGAGCCCCACCCCCACTGCCACCCCCCGGGGTGTCTCCTGAGGGGTCAGGGGTCAGCCTCATGCTCCAGGTGGAGCTGCCTGCCCAGGGCCCAGGTGCCAACCAGAGATGGTATCTCCACAGCTTTGCAGAGGCCTGGACATCCCAAGACCAATTTACATTCTTTGGTCTCGGTTTGCTGGAGCCAAAATGGGGTGGGGGCAGGGCCCTAAATCCACAAGACCCGAGGCTGCCCGACCTGGGGTGGTTCTGGCCCCATCTTTGGGGTGGGGAGGGGTTGCATCCACCTGGTGTGGCCGCCACCAAGGGGAAGGTGGCAAGAAGCTCTGTGCCCGCTGGTCTGTGCCAGACAACCTGCAGGCAGCCCCCCACACAGGTCCACTCGGGGTGCAGTCCTGTGCGTGGCCCACACCGCTGCTCCCAGACCCGCGGCACATGCATCAGCCGCCATCCCGCTCACCACGCTCCGGGACACCTCGTGCCCAAGGCTGG